CTCGACCTTCTACTTGGGAAGCGGAAACGGTAACCACTACTCTACTGATTTCGTCTTGTTGTTAGATTGAACCAGTGTTGTGGAATATTGAATCTAATACGTCGTTTATAAAGCATGCAATTAAGACATGGACGCATAGTGGTATAAGAGCTATTTTGCTGACTGTATTCACCTTTATACAGCAATATTGTAAAGCAATGCAATGACATCTATTAATGGAGCTAGAAAACATTTATAAGACGTCTAAAAAAGCATTTTATTAAATAAATTGAAAACAGTCGAATTCTGAATCAGGAAGACAGTCAACGTTTATAAAGCTTTTAATAAGTAAATTAATCATATCAGAGCAAGCCGCGGAATAAAGACGCATATATCGATCTCAATGAGCTTTTTTTTTTTAGCACATAGTTCGACATCCTGTTTTATTCAGCATTGTACCATTGTACACTGTTATACAGCAATTATTCAATATGTATGCTTATTTGTGACTTTGAATTGTTTGTTGGGATGTGCTACATTTAATAGGCGTAGTTAGATATGGGGAGGGGCTTACTGTATCCTTTCCGCCCCTCACTTATATCAATGAAAGTAAACATAAAGACTAAAATAACTTCGGAGTTTCCCATCTCTCGATTTGTTTTGATGGGATATTCAAAAACGCTCAATCTCATAAGAGCAATTTTGAAAGCGAGTACCCTCATACCCTTCCCTACTCTTTTGATGCAATATACAATGTCAGATATATTCACACAAATGTCATTGGATTGTAATGATTATATTTCATTTTAATACATTCTACGATTTCTCAAGGTACTCTTTTTGATGCTGTTCTATTCCCTGTATTGCTGTTGAACTAGGTCTCGGGTGAATTTCTTGATAAGTCAGAAATTAGTTTCACACCTCATTCAGCGCATTGAAATAATCTGTATCATTACTCCACTCGTTTGCCGGTTTTTGCATGAAGCCGGTCGCAATTTCGAAAAGGAATCAGCAATGATAGAAATGACGTTTGACTTGGGAGCCCAACCGAAACGCAGCTCAACAAGCGAAATCCGAGTGTACCTGTGTCTGAGACGAAACTGGTGAAGACAGTTTCCGTTTTCTACTGTTTTTGGTTTTTGACGTACGACTACTTCTGTGTTTTCTATATACGGGTGGCCCGAATGGCAGTTAATAAAAGCTTTATATAGAAATAATATAGCAGTTGGACTAATAATTCAAACAACATCTCCTCATAAACAAATGAACGGACAAGTGGATAATATATATTTACACTACAACAATTTTCGTTTCAAAACTACTTATAGAGTAAACCAACTCCCCCCTCCCCGCTTTCTAACTACGCTTATGAGATTGAGCGAATGTTTTTGAGACTTTACTTCTATTGATATGAGTGAGGGGGGGGGGTATATTATTACCCCTCCCCCTCTTCAACTACACATATGCGATAGAGCAATTGTTTTTGAATAATTCATCTGAACATATCAGATCGGTTGATTCAGTATCGGTTGAAGTCCTTTCAGACAAACTCCACGCTTGTGGCCTTTCCCCATTAATTAATAACTTTTTGTACAATTTGCTGTCAGAGAAACATATGAGCTTTTCTCATGGAAACTCTACAGCTTCTCGATTTAGTTACATGGGTCTCCCCCAGGGCTCATGTTTAAGCCCCCTTTTGTAGAGAAATTGACAATTGTCTAAGTGACAACTGCACGTTGAGACAACTTGCAGATGATGGCGTAGTGTCTATGACAGGGCCCAAAGGGGTCAACCTGCAAGGACCCTTACAGGATACCTTAGACAATTTGTCTACTTGGGCTATCCAGCTAGGTATCGAATTCTCCACGGAGAAAACTGAGTTGGTCGTTTTTTCTAGGAAGCATAGCCCAGCACAACCGAAGCTTCAACTTTTGGGTAAGCCGATCACTCATTCTATGTCTTTCAAATATCTTGGGGTCTGGTTCGATTCAAAATGCACCTGGAGATCCCACATTGAGTATCTGAAGCGGAAATGCCAACAAAGGATTAATTTTATCCGAACAATTACCGGAACGTGGTGGGGAGCTCATCCGCAAGATCTTCTAACGTTGTACCGGACAACGATTTTATCGGTTTTAGAGTACGGTAGTTTCTGCTTCCAGTCGGCGGCTAAAACTCACATCATCAAACTGGAACGTATCCAGTATCGTTGTCTTCGTATCGCGTTAGGATGCATGCACTCGACTCATACGATGAGTCTCGAAGTGTTGGCGGGCATGTTGCCACTATCGGATCGGTTTTCGGAATTGTCCCTCAGGCTCCTCACCCGTTGTGAAGTTATGAACCCACTGGTAATCGAAAACTTTGAGAAGCTTCTTGAGCTAAACCCTCAAACTCGTTTTATGTCATTGTACTACGTGTACATAACTCAGGATGTCAGTCCTTCACAGCATAATCCCCATCGTGTATGCTTCTCCGACTTCGGCAATTCAGTTAGTTTTGATTTATCTATGACGCGGGAGATTCGTGGAATCCCAGAACATCATCGTTCCATGATTGTTCCGTCAATTTACACTGCAAAGTTTGGCCAAGTTGATTCCGCAAGATCGTTCTTCACAGATGGATCACTAATAGAGGCGTCCGCTGGTTTTGGTATTTTTAACGAATTTCATAGCGCCTCTCGAATGCTTCAAGCTCCTTGTTCCGTATATGTTGCTGAACTGGCGGCAATACACTATACGCTAGAAACGATCGCCTCACTTGCACCAGATCACTATTTTATTTTTACGGATAGTCTCAGTTCTGTCGAGGCTATTCGATCCATGAGGCCGGTAAAGCGCTCCTCGTATTTTCTCATGAAAATACGAGAGCTTCTGAGTGCTTTATCTTTAAGATCTTTTGTCATCACCTTTGCATGGGTCCCATCTCATTGCTCGATTCCGGGCAATGAGAAGGCGGACTCACTTGCTAAGGTGGGCGCTATGCAAGGCGATATTTACGATCGACAAATCGCCTACAATGATTTTTTCTTCATTTATCGTCAACAGTCGCTCGCCAGCTGGCAAAATAAATGGAGTGAAGGAAGTTTGGGACGATGGCTATTCTCGATCATCCCTAAGGTGTCGAAGAGTCCTTGGTTCAAGGGGTTGGATGTGGGTCGAGACTTCATTCGTCTGATGTCTCGCCTCATGTCCAATCACTATTCGTTAAACGCTCACTTGTTTCGTGTTGGGCTGGGAGACAGCAATCTCTGTGAATGTGGACAAGGTTACCAAGACGCCGATCACATCCTTTGGTCTTGTGCTGAGCATCGTGGAGTCAGATCTGAGCTGTGCGATTCCCTTCGGGCTCGAGGTAGACAACCTAATGTTCCAGTTCGGGATATTTTGGCTAGACGTGATCTGGAGTTTATGAAACTCATATATGTTTACTTTAAGAATACTAACCTTAGATTGTAAGTTTGATTAACCTTGTGTTTAGTTTGTGTATTGTGCGTGTAGTTTTTTTAATGTTTGTTTTCAAGATGAATAGAAATAAGTTCATGTTTTAGGATTAATTAAATATTTGTATAATAAATCATATTTCAAACCTCCTTCTCCCTTTCCCCATCCAAAAAATTGTAAATCTCCACTAACCTCGAGACGACCGCGAGTAATCGGTTCAATTCCTTTAACTCTAGATGTAAGACATTAATCATGTATAATGCAAATGATAACTCGGCTCTGTAAAGTTTATTCGATTGAGCCTGTACAAATAAATTAATATAAAAAAAAAATATATCAGATCGGCAAGATAACAAACTTCGAAAATATTTCAGTTTGGAATCTGACTCCCATTGGTACCATTGGTACACCGGCAGTGTTGGCAGAAAAAGGGATTTTTGGTGTTTAATTCAAACCATAAATATTTTAATAGTTATATCTTTTTTTAGATACATTATAGCTTCGTACTTCCTTTGGCAAAGTTGTAAGGCACTTTCTGGAATATATTTGTACATACTTGGTGGCATGGTTCATGCAAAATTGTGGTCTCTAGGGATAAAAATGCAAAAAAGTTGGTTTTCCCATACAAATTTTAAACGCAACGGAAAGCCGAGTTACAACCAATCGCCCCCAAATTTTGCACAGTTATTTGGGACTCCAAATGGAACCAAAAAAAAAAGGGGTTGTTCTCGATTGGTGAGGTAAAGTTTGCATTTTTCTATATAACGATGATCCACTGTAATATGGAGTCACCGTGCGTGGTGGAAGAACTCCTAAAAAATTGAAAAATTGCCAGCAACTTGCTATAATTTTTCTATTTTTACAATTTTAGAAGGTGGCATCGGTATTTTGGGTCTACTGACAATTGTTAATGTTTTGCCAGAAATAAAATACTCATAAGCATTTCTACCTGATAAAAATCAAGCAGTCAATAATTTGCAATTTTATGAGGTGATATAAGTATCAATTAAAATAAAACAAATGGAATTTATATCTGCCCGATAAAATTGCATAATATTGACAGCTTCTATAAATTTATACGTTCCATAATTCTCATTCAAAATTTACGTACAAATTAGCATTTTAAACAGAAGTGAATATCACGTAAAAGTTACCAGTTTTCCAGTAGTTTGCACCCCAATTTCATATAAACGTGGAAATCAGGTCCTATCTACTTGACTAATCACGATGGATGAACACATAAATCGTACGTGAACATTTTTCAGTGTTCGATAGTTGGAACGTTTTTGAACTTGTCATATTGCATGTTTTTGCTCACTGATGAGACCATCAGGAGACATCAATTCCGTCCCAAACAATGAGGAAATCAAGCAAAGATAGGACAGCCGATTATGGGCAGTTAGTTAGAAAAATATTTTACTTGCATGTTATAAAAATCCCAACGACGCTCTTAGTTATTCAATACCGGAGAGACTACACCAACCAGATAGAATTTACCTCACCGCAAAGCGGGTCACTCTGTTCCATCTAAAACGCAAAACACTGTCCCTGAACATCTTCTGTTGAGCGGGTCGATACCTGTTTGTAGCAAATCCAGCGAGTTGCTTCCTCTTCAGTGCGGAACTCGACAAATGCGAAACCTCTAGATGCACCTAAATCGCGATCGGTCGGGTGGAGAGAAGAAAGAGCAAAACACAAACGATATCAATGTTACGCCTTTCAGTGATACTCGGGCACTGGGATTCATTGCGGTCATTAGCTACAGATATTTTGACACGATATAGCTGTCGCACCTTAGTATCGGACCATCGACTTCGTACACAAAGGAAAACACGCGGGTTTGCTTGGTATATTTTGCATTGCGTGCGGATTTCTGCCATTTTTCTGCCGGCCAAATACGCGATTACTCCTTTTTTTCGTTTACTTGGTGTACCATTTTCTACAGTGTCGCTCTTAGAAAATGTTAAACCATTTCCGTTGTCACATGTCCTCTACTTACCATGGGTAATAATAGATCTAAACAAAATAATAGAACAGTATGGTGCTTTATTATTACCTGTTTTCTTTCTCCGGATCAACCGAACGTGGAGCGCTTGAAGCCCGCATTGTATAAGATCACTGTTAATCTGTTTGGATAAAAATAAGCTAAAAATTCTGTCAAAAAATCAATCAAATTTCCGGTACTTACATCCGCTTCGGTTATATGTGCGGCCAATCCCCGAACGATGATTTTGTTATTGGGTTTTTGATGGTAAAAGAATTCCTGGTTGTTGTCGCTATCATAGTTATCATCGAATTCATTTGAATTTTGCACAGGAGAATAGTTCCGTTTGTTTGGTTTATCGCGATCCCTATTCGTTATTTGAATGTTACGGTCAAGAACTACATTTTCGGAAAGCCATTTGAACCCTACCTGCGATCTCTATCTCTTGATCTGCGCTCGCGATCACGACTTCGGTGACGGTACCGGTCTCGGTCACTGCAAAACGAAAACAAAACATGTTAAAACAATCATATAAAGCAAAACTATTCAAATTAACGTATCTGGTTTTGTAAACAATCGACGATTTGTCTTAACTCACCCACGCAAACAAACACCATCATCAGGTAGGGGAATCTTTCTGCCACAAATCGTTGATTGAAGTGATTGTTTACAAAATAAGATACGTCGATTTGAATAGTTATGCTTGATACAAACAAATGTCATGAAAACGTACCGGTTGTCGTACGAATTATCGCCATAATCCTGATCTATCAAATCCCTGTACAGATCTCTTTCAGGGCTCCGCCGGTTATTATTGCTGATGTATCGCTCTCTGCTGTACGATCGCGATCGGCTACGGCTGTAGCGTCGGTAGTGGCGTTCCCTAAAAATCAAAATACATCCGGTTAGCATTTGAATTCGTAAATTATCCTGCTGCTTTGGAGATCGTCCAAACAAAGAACTCCTCTTTGTTTCTCATGATGGGCATTACGCGTGCAGTTTCTTCAAGTTACACTTGTGCACAGCCGGATAATTACTTTGAACGTCCACGGTTGCCTCGGTCCCGGTCGTCCCGGCGGTTGCGATTCCTATAGTAGCCAGAATTGTCACTGTCTGGACTCGGTGAGACTATAAACAATCACATTGCAAATCAGCATTAAGTTTCATTCCAAACAAAAGGCGACATATTCTTTGAAAATTCAACTATGAGCATATTTTTGACGCTCCTCCATCAAATCCCGTCCCATCCCATCAAAATTACAAACAAAATAGAACCAGTGCGATTTCCCAACGAAGGAAAACCTTCCCCAAATTAAAACCGAAAAAATCGCAACAAAGATGGCAGACTTACACTCCATGCTAGCGGATTGAGTCGTAAACTTATTTCCGCAGTATTTTCTTCAATCGATGTATTTCCCTCAATACACTACTTCTGCTAGTTGGTAGAACACTTTTTGTTAAGTTTGTTCACTTTTTAAAACCTGCTTCTGTTTTGCATCTATTGGATAAGATCAAATTTTTGCACTAATGTTCTTCTTCTCACAATCAGAATTAGTGAAAAAATAAATGGAGTCTCTTCTTCGTTACTCCGCGTTTTCCGAATGATCGTGGCGCGGCCGTCGGTTTTTGGGTTTTTTGACGTCAGATTGTCACCCCGGTGCTAAAACGATGCAAGCAATCAAACACCAAACTGGATACACTCAAAAACTAATATTTATAAGAATGATTAAAATTTATACATTTCAGTGCCAACATTTCAAAGGGGCGTAATTGCTTTTGTAAACAATGGCTTTAGCTGTCGATTTCTCGCACCTTAAAGCTCACTCCTTCAAAATAACAATGCTAGATGGTAGAGGAAACATTCCTCTACCTATTGGTGTCATTATTTTTCATGAGTGAGCTTTTATTCGCGAGAAATTGACGGCTAAAGACATTGTTTACAAATGCAATTACGCCCCTTTGAAATGTTGGCACTGATTTTATGATTAATCATAATTATAGATACTATAGATTCCATAGATAAGCGGAGGCACAAAAAGTTGTTTTGGCAACCATGAAAAATAAATGATATTACTGGCATCCGTGAAAGCAGTTCATGCCATCATAGAGCTCTTCGTTGTGCAGTTTTGTTTTGTTTCGTGCGTACAAGTTCAAAATGAAGTGCAAAGCAAATCTTTGCAATAATGTATCGAGGAATGGTTTGCTTTATCTTTCCTTCTTCCGTTGTCCGCGAAATAAATCGGAATGTGAAGTGTGGAAAGCGTTTTGTGCTCATAATATTACAATACTTCTCCCTCAAACAACACCATGATGATGTCATGCTCGTTTGGCTACACTAACTGACAGTTCGTTTTGCTACATTATACTTTTCCTCCGCTTATCTATGGAATCTATAGTATCTATAATCATAATTAATCATAATACCACCGACGAACCGACATGAAACTTAAACTTAACTCTTGATCGAGAATCCATAACGGCCGATTCAAATGTGCAGGGATCTATCTGTCAAAACCAAAGAAATGTTTTATCTAGATAAAAATAATTTTACCGAATTAGGTTAGACACGAACCAACTTATAAATTTTGTACGCGTGTTCGTGGCTAGGATAAATATTTTCCGCGAACACGGCAGCAATTACATCTTGTAATACATTGATTCAAATATTTTTTTTTTTTCAAAATTATGCTAACTCTGCATACTGGCGAAAAAAGCGCACCGCTCATAAGCGCGCTGCAACCCCGCCCATAAGGATTCTACACAGGTGTGTAACTTAGATAGTATTTTATGGCAGCGGCTTCAAGAGCGAATCTTGGATAAAGAGCCGCCGTGTGTTAAATGAATGGGCGCAGTCGTACGGCCATAAACAAAGAACAGATGGTATAATCCCATTTTGAGAATTTATCCTGCCACACACAATATATACCACTGACAGCAAAGCAGTGGAAAATAATTCAAAGTGATGTAGGAAGAAAACTACGCTGAGGAGATTCTATCGGTTCCATCGGACGGATGTGTCCATCAATCCCCTGGACGGATGTGTCCATCAATCCCACTGTGGATTTCTTCCGATGGCTAGAATGTTGCGTGCTTCAGGATCATCGAAGAGGTTCGTGTCAGGTTGTTCGCGAAGACTTGATGAGAGGTCGTCTACTGATCTCGACGATAGACCATACATTGTACTGCATCTGAACTAACTGATTCTTCTGTATCTTATTCTAATCTTACAGACCCTTCCGTTGAAAGGTATTTATTTTTATCTAACCCGAGATCTAACCCTACCTAAAAAGAACCAAGGCCACTTTATATTTCTTCTAAATCTTTACAGGCAAATTTACAAATTTGTACACTAATAAAAATTCAATGATTATTTTTATGTGCCCCACACATTAACTTTTGCAATGTGATAAACAGATAATATATATGTGTCGGACACATAGTTTTAATGTGTACACATACAATTCATGTGTAACCACACATGCTATTCATTTGACTCATAAATTTCATGTGTGAATGGATTCTGTTTATGTCGGTTTATGTGTGGACAGAAGAAAATCTTGTGGAATTTTACATGGAAATTCGCCAATAAAAATGCGTCAAATTTTATCAGTGTATATTTTAAAAATCCACTTCAAACCGAGCTTCAAACGTAATGTTTTTTTTTGCTTCTTAACACTTCCGGAAAACGGAACGTTCAACAAGGGCAAATAGCTTAGCGGCGCCGGTGGTGTAGTGGTAAGTGTGAATACATCTCACCCCAGCAGGCCTGGGTTCAATCCCAGTCGGCGCTGCCGGGATGTTCTGAGGCATAACATCTCTGATCACGCCTTCCTTCGGAAGGGAAGTAAAGCCATTGGTCCCCGGTTCATGAGCTTTTGGAGATGAACTAGCCAAAAGGCTAAAAATCTCCTTAATAAAGGAAAAAAATTAAAGGGTTGTGTCCTAGACACGACCGCAGTATGACGTAGAACCACACAAAATTGATGTTTTTCATGCATTTTTGACTATTATACTTTATCTTAAAATTTTCAAGTATTTCAATGTTTCGGTTATGGTGTGTGTGTGTGTGTGTGTGTACTTCAATGTTTCGGTTATGGTTCACTCAAAACAATTTAAACATTTTTCTTGACAAATATATTAATGTGAAATTTCACATGATTTTCATTTGACCACACATAAACAGAATCCACTCAGAAGTACACATGAAATTTATACGCAAATGAATAGTATGTGTGGTCACGCATGGTTTTTATATGTACATATATTAAATATGTGGCCGACACATAGATATTGATTTGTTGATCACGTTGCAACAATTCATGTGTGGAACACATACAAACTCCAGAACAAGATCCTTAGGATAAACAGTCCAGGACCCGAAATTCTGAGGTTCACCGCCTGGCTGGTCTTCAGCCTCTCGAAGAGCGACGAACGGTCTCCTTGGAAAGGTTCAGAGACACCCGTCTGAGATCAGATCTTCAGATCATAGGTGATCTGGCACGTTAGTTAAGTTAGACTTGTAGTTAGGTAGGTTATCAAATTTTTCAATTAAAACAAAACACACCCCCAAGGGGTTTTCTGTTAACTAGATGAAATACGCAACTACTAAATTAGAATACACAATGAACACAGATGAAGAGCCAGATATATCCTATACACAGCAAAAAAAGTTGTTGAATATTACATCGAAACTGCTGCAACCAGGTCGATCCATCGGTTGTGTAATATCACATTGCATGATGTACATCGATTTTGCGAACAAAATTACATCCATTGATGTAATATTGTATCTGCTTTTTGCTATTACATCATTATTTCATACATCAGCTTGAATTGCGTTGATCGATATTACATTTTTTTTTGCTGTGTAGGCAAATCAATTGAAATGTAAAATCAATGTATACACTATAATCAACAGAAATAAACGAAATTTTACTACTACTACTTTTACAGTCAGTGGTGTGTAATTCATCAGCATCAAATCATCGAATATGTCTTTCAAGCAATTTTTTTCTCAAATTTGAAAGTTATGATGCGGGAAGAAATTAAGGGAAAAACTCCTGTTTTTACTATTAATAATTGTGGTTTGTTTAAAATTTATTTCGCGGAAAAAAGTGATAGTCAAAGTCCATGTCTTTTTCGGATTATTGTTGAGGGAGGGGGAGGTTGTTGTGAAGGGGGACAGGGGGTTTACAAACATTTATTTTCCTCATTGTGTCGCATTCCTCATTGCGGTCACGCCGTGATCCACCTTTAGCCACTGACTTGGTCCTGCTTGCTGCAACCAAACCTGATAGGATTTCCCACCGTTTTTTATGAATGGGGCGGAGCAAAAAGTTTCTTTTGTGCAGAATATGTAAAAAAGGATGGACTTTGGATGTCAATATAATTGCATATATAGAGGTACCAGATATGTTTAACAGTCAGTTATTGGTAATCCATCGAGTGTATGTCCCTGTTAAGCAAATGTTTTTTTGAAAATGTTGGCTCTGCATGTAAAAAATAAATTGTTTATACATAATTGTGGTTTGCTTAAAATTTATTTCCCGTAAAACACGATCGTCCAAGTCCATGTCTTTTTCGGGTTATTGTTAAGGGGGGAGGGGGAGAGATTGTTAAGGGGGAGGGGGTTTTACATGCACGTTTTTTCAAGTCTCATTCCTCATTGTGGTGGACACTCCGTGACTTAGTCCTAGGACCTAGTGTCTTAGCTGACTTAGTCCTAGGACCTAGTGTCACGCCGTCCGAAGCGGTAATGAGCAGAGGCAGGAGAGCAGCGCTGATTTATATCTTTTCATGTTCAAGCAGAATGATGTGCAACCAAGTGGTATTCGTTTATGATGACTGGGTTTGGGAAAAAGGCTTATTTCATGAAAACAGTGATAAAATTATCATTTGTACATTTTCAATAGTTTAATTACAGAAAAATTGGAAAAATGTATATTTCAGCAGGTTCGTATTGTAATATCCTATCGATTGCCGTATTTGGATTTTAATTTCATCTATAAATGACAAAGTTACAAGCGTTCAAAACCTAACACTCCTTCACCACACATATTTTTTGATTTGCACCCCAGTATAGTCGACAAAGACGTAGTTCTACGTCAAAACAACCCCAGATCATGAGTTGATGGGTCGATAGGTGTAGGGTCCAGGTGTGGGAGCTGCCTCCCTGGTGTTGATAGCATTGGTGCTCAGCACGGAAAACAAGATCGACGTTAAAAAATCAAGGAAAAAAAGGGCAAATAGCTTATAACCATAATCAATCACCGGATACTCGATAACGACATCATCAATCGACAGATACCGGATTGTGTGCAGCAGTTTCTACTGATCAGGATACAAGCGCTGATCATGTTTTTAAAACGTGTTATTCCCGTACGATTTTGATAACTCTGTACCACCTGCTTGTAACTAAATATTCTGAATAACAGGTGTTCGACCTTCTTTAATCAGATCTAAAATCGCGCTTCATCACAGCTCTGCAATAGATTTGACATCGCATTATGCATCATCATCGCGTTCGCTGTCAACAAACATTTTGTAGGGAGTTCCGATGTTCTTTTGCTTGAGAAAAATTTATTAAATTCTTTTGTTTGTTTTTATTTGTAAACTATCGTTTCGTCCAAGTTTTCTTCCAAGGGGCGATCAACTTCATAAATCAGCTGAATTGTAAATACACACATCGGAAAATACACAAAAAATACGTAAATGCGTACACGCTGAAACTAAAATACCCTAATAAAAATACTAGAAAATACTTTGTACACGAAAAATACATTCAATAATGAATTTAATACACCTTAATACAAAAATACACAAAACTTAACAATACATAAATACGAAAAAAAAAACCTTTGCTTGGGACCAATAGGCTATTCAAGTAGTGAGCCAATTTAAAATCGTTAGTTTCGTATTGATTGTTGCTATTGTTTGTGGCAGGATAAATTCTCAAAATGGGATTATACCATTCTGTTCTTTGTTTATGGCCGTACGACTGCGCCCATTCATTTAACACACGGCGGCTCTTTATCCAAGATTCGCTCCTGAAGCCGCTGCCATAAAATACTATCTAAGTTACACACCTGTGTAGAATCCTTATGGGCGGGGTTGCAGCGCGCTTATGAGCGGCGCGCTTCGGACGTCACTAAATGAGAATTAAACATAAGCGCGACAATAGGTCGTATGAATAAAAGCGTTAACTTTACTTTTCCCGTAAGAAAAGCACGGGAAAGTAAAGTAAACTCTTTTTATTCATACGACCCAATATTACTGGTTACTTGGGTGCAACGGCGGGGTTTCGGTGCCTTTTGTTTCCAAAAGAAACAAACAAGCTTCCATAATGTAGATTGGGACCTTTTGTAATGTTCGTTTAGTTCTAAGGTGACCGTAAAATTTTCATGAGGTCTTTTGTGTGTTGACGGCAGTCAAACGTCACGGTGGTTTTACTTTTCTTCTTCTTGGCATTTCAAAGGCACTTCGATTCTTGTCGTCGTCCGCCATGTTTTTTCTTTGATTCGTGTTTCGTGTCAAGTAGTCGGGTGTTTTCTCCGCAGAAATCTAATCGCCTTGGCCAGGAACAGTGTCCTATTCGGGAGGAACGGCTTTCGGAGCACCACAGGAAGTCTGCGGAGTGTCAGGAAGTGCGAAAAAATTCGGTGCAAATCGGAGAGCAAACGTAAAGCCAATTTTGGGAATCCCAGTAGAATAAACAACACGGTTGCTGCGGTCAGTGTAGTGAAGAAAAGAAAGGTGATTATGATGAATCGGAGTGAGGGCCTTGTCCGACGTGTAAAAGCTCGCGACACAGAATCAAACAGTGGCGGTGGGTCGGCCTCCAGCAATTATGATGAAGAGAACAAAAATGAAAAAGAGGACGAGATGGACGATTGCGATTCGAAGGAAACGCGGCTCACCCTAATGGAGGAAGTACTGCTGCTTGGGCTTAAAGATAAGGAGGTACGTTTTATGGCGAACCACTAGCTATGAGGCATTTTGATTGTGTGTTTATCTTTGGATACTGAAGTGCCGTAGATGAGCGACGGCTGGTAATTGCTAGTGGGAAGAGGATCATTTATTGGTGCCTTCCAATGAAACCTATATCTACTGAAGGAAGGTGGCGGGGGTGAAGTGCATTTTTTTTATACTTGGATGCTCCAAGTTGCTCCATCGCATCTGAAATGTGAAAGGGTGAGAATTTAGTGGCAGAATACAACGAAGGATGACACGTCTCACTGTATGACATAATTTAACCAGCGCTCACTCTCGGAAGCTAGAGTATGTAGTTTTTTTTTTAATGATTTCAGACTCATGTTGGTTCAAACTACTGTAGTAGTTAGAGCCTTTGTAAGGTGTAATTCAGATTATAAGTTTACTGGTTTCTGAAATCTAATGTATCAATGTCTTTCTTGACATGAAAAAAGGTGTGTGAAACAAAAGATTGTTTGACTAATGAAATGGATTTTTGTGTTAGAAACTTATTAGGTACAGGTCTACACTGCCGTTATACCTGTCCCATGTTCTATGCAATCCTATGGACCGTGGATCATTTATGCTTATAATGGTAGTACATAGAACAGGGCTTTTTGCTATATTTTTTTTATTATGATTGATCGAAGGGCAAGATTTATCATCTTCCTGTTGATGTTTATAGTAGGGGTATGTGGGTCGAACGACCAGTTTAACATTTTACAATTTTGCAGAAGCTTCTTGGGTTTTTTTCTTAAATGCTACGCTTAAGGTGGAATTATAGAAATCCAACCTACGCAATGTATTTTTTAATGGCTATGATTTTTTTTTCAAATAACTTCTGAATCATGTTTTTCACAGTTGGTTTCATACAACATTTGTTATTAATGTTTTTTTTTGTAGCACTCCTAATTCCCTGGAGTTTATTTTAAGTCCTGAGAAAATGTTTACGTTTGGGACTTGAAAAGTTATACAAGTCCAAGGCATTGCTTTCTTTTCATCAAATTTTAGGACATTATTTTGGAAGACATTTTTAAATGCAGTTTCTCGAAAGAAATTTAGACTTTGCATTTTCGGTGGAGGTCTAATGAAAAAAACAGAAGCAAGCTAGAGTAAACAAAAGTCAACAATAGTGCTGAAGATTACTGACGAAATAATAACTTACCTAACATACATTAGTTGGTATAGCGGCGCCACAATCAGTGATTTTACTACTCGTGAACGATCACGAATCATAAAATCGCTGATTGCAACGCTCTGAAAGCGAAATTGATGTATGTCTCAAACACATACTTTACAACCTTTCAGTGTAACTTACAAGTACAACATATTACTATAACATCTAATGATTTCATAATTCCTAAAAACATTTTTTTATAGCAAGTAACCCCTTAAGAATTAGATTCCCTTAGAATTATTATCCATATTTCCTTGCGTGTGTTGATTTATTTTGCTGCTCTCCTCAGAATTTCTCTTTGAGTACAATCGATCAACATTTATGAAATGTTTAGCCGTAAGGCTGTCCACGAGACAGTTGCGATCAACTGACTTTTTTGTTTACCAAGAACTTTTGACAGATCACAGTAGAACTGGCAGTTTATTCTCATATGAATTTCTGCTTTGTTTATTTTTACATTCAGCACCATTAACACCAGATCACTCACACACTCTAGATTTCTAGCTATCAGTTCCACTGAGAAACGTCTCTTGGATCACTTTATTAGGAAGCTTCAGGGTTGTAGTCATATCATCATTAACAGTTATAATACCTGCAAAATGCGTGGCGATGATGTGAACAAACTTGCTTTTCGACAACGGGACAAGTTCGGTATTATGACAGTTAACTTTGCATTACCATTAATTCACTTTGAATACTCTTCCGAATTACTTTTGAATGCTCCTTGAAATTCATTCCGATTTGCTTTACAGTTCCCTGGAATTCTACTCATAATCCCTACATTAGTCTCTTCAGAAACCACCTGTAGTTCTTCTTACAATTTTCTTTAAATACTTCTAAAAATTGCCTGATACATCTAGTCCCTAGAATTCCTCTACATTTCTCCTCAACTAATTCGGCATTCTCATATTACATATCTAGCCACTGCTTTGCAGTGTCAGAATCCTCAAATTTAGTACTAGTCCAAGAGCCATAATATATTTTTTCAATTTGAACTCTTTAAAATAGGTTATATTTGAATATACAAATCTCGCAAAGTTCAAGAATGAAAAATACTGGCCTTACTGGCCTGGTTTGGAAAAAAAAATCCACGGCCCATACAAATTTAAAATGTTTTGTATGGACAATTGTTGTCTTAATGAATAAACTATTCGTCTTAAATAAGGTTCAGTCTTCTTACTCTATTCACAAATTGAGGTGTGGACATACCAAAAGCAAACGCGGACTCGACGGATACAAACATACGAACCATTGCACAAATAGGCTGATTGTAGCCGTAGGGAGTACGATGAAAGCTCGGTTGCATCAGGGATTGCTGACGTAACATCCTACCTGGAGCACGGAAATCAAGCAGTGAGAGAAGATGAGAGCAATTGACGTCACCGTTGAGTAATTTAGTTATAAACGTAACCTGTTGTAGCTTACGTCTTCGATCAAGCATTTCAAGGTCAAGCAGACGGCATCTATCGGGATATGCTGGAAGGTTCAAAGAATCACGCCATGGTAGGTTTCTGAGCGCAAGTCGTATGAATCTTTTTTGCACACGCTCGATTCTTAGATTCCATGATACGTCGTTTGGAGCCCATACAACTGAAGCAGTTTTCTAGGATCGGCCTTACGAGTGAACAATACAATGCTTTCAGACAGTGTGAGTCCGTGAAATCCTTGGCAATCTTAGAGATGAAGCCAAGTTGATGATTAGCCTTGGAAATAATCGATGCATAATGGGAATGAAAGGAAAGCTTCGAGTCCAGTACGACACCAAGATCCGTCACTTGATCCACTATGCTAAGAACAGTATCATCGATGTGGTATTCATAAATTAACGGGTCTTTGGACCGATAGAAGTTCATCATATGACATTTCGCGACGCTGATGACAAGCTTGTTCGAGCGGCACCAATGAACGAACATGTTGAGCAACATTTTCAGATCATCAGCATATACGAGCTTGCACTTGTGGCCAAGGGTAGATGCAGCGTCATTGAAGAATAACACAAATAATAACGGTTCCAAATTACTTCCTTGCGGGACACCGGACGTGCTAGCAAATGGCGATGAAACATAAGATCCGTGTTTAACGTACAGCGTTCTGCCAGTCAAGTACGACGACAACCACGACACCAATCGATTTGAGGCTCCCAATCGCGATAGCTTGCAGAGCAACACTTTATGATCAATTTTGTCAAAAGCCGCCTTTAGGTCCGTATAGATTACGTCAACCTGCGCTTTATCTTCGATAGCCGAAAAACAGGTAGTAGTTAGATTCAGCAAGTTAGTAGCAACAGACCTACCGGGAATAAATCCATGTTGATCTGACGAAATGTGGTTTTTTGTAGCGCGTAGAATTTGATCACTGACGATAATCTCGAGAAGCTTCGATGCGGCAGAAGGGCTGGTTATCCCACGGTAATTTTTAACATCTCGTCGGTCACCACTTTTGTGCACAGGAAACATGTACGATAGTTTCCATCTCATGGGAAATTCCCCTAGATCAAACGAACGGTTGAAAATGAAGGCTAGCGGCTCAGCTACTGCGCATTCGCAGCGACGGAAAACAGCAGGAGGGATACCATCCGGGCCAGGAGCAAATGAATTCTTCAACTTTTTTGAAGCACCGATAATCATTGCAGATGAAATTTCGAACGTGTCTAAATCAACTGCATCCAGCGCGACATTTGACGCAGCCAGTTCGGCCTCGACGTCGGACGATGACACTGGTTCGAAGATGGATGCGAAATGCATCGCGAAGAAATTGAATGCTTCTTCTTCATTATTGAACTCTTTGCCTCATGTCCGGTGGAATGTAGATATTGCACATCAGGAATCGACGACCACGAATATTGGCAGAAACACACACTTGCTCCAGTCTCCTGCCATTGTTCGTATCAATGCGCGAGCTGCCATGTCGTTCGGCAACGGCTATGAGCGCACCACCAAAGCAGCGCTTGTCGCTATTCAAAGGGGAACGATCACAACGGAAACCGTTGAATGAATTTCCAAAAACCTGCAGGGAATTGATTTTGTCTAATCCTGTCTCCGTTAGCATAATGACATCGTAGGTACTGTCGAGAGATGCCAAAAAAATGCCGTCCAGTTTAGTCCTCAAACCTCTCACGTTTTGATAATAAATCCAGGCATCGATGGTACTGGAACTTCTAGGGAACGAGAGTTCTTCAGAGCGAAAATTGCTGTTACTGCAAGGATACCATGATAGGCAACTTGGAAGACCCCATCGCCAGCACTAGACTCAGGGCCGGGACGACTTGGGTGGCAGGAACGAGAAAGCTGCGAGATATTTTCCATGACGGCTACGGGCTCGACTGAGTAAGGCGGGTCAGGGGCTTCCGTACTGCTATGTGTAGGGCGTCCCGGGAATCACAAAAAACTGTCTACGTAGTTAACGAACAGCCTCTTAGAGGTGGATCACAGCGTGGTCACCTTGACAACCAGCGATGGGGTCGAAGGAGATGGTTCAATTAGTACGAAACGCGGAAATTGACGATCACTTTTTTTCCGATAAATAACAATTAACAGACTACAATCATAGAGGTAACTCTAAGACTAGTAGGTCCCAAAGAAACGTGTTCTACTTTTTGGCTCAGCTCTGGTACTATCTTTGGTCCCAAGCTAATCGAAAATCTACGAACCCCTCCTTTTATCTGTCCAACTTTCATAGCGAATCAAAACATAATGTATTCCTAGAATTTCTACTAGAATGGGGTACTTTAATCGATTTGCTTGGGACCAATAGGCTTGTCAAGTAGTGAGCCAATTTAAAATCGTTAGATTCCACCGGTTGCTACAATTAAGGA